GACCTGACAGAGCTGACCTCTGTCCAGGAACCGGTACAGTTGCCCCCAGAGTCATCCTAGTGAGTGGAAATCAACTGAAGATAGGGAATTATGAACCCAGATGAAAGCTGAGTGATGTGGGCTGAACTAGGTTGATGTTTGCTGATGTTATCCAGGCAGCCTAAGCCACAGATAATCACACGGCAGCCCCCAAAAAGGAGCATTTGTGGCCTGAGGTGACTGAGGATGTATAAATACTGTCTGCAAGGCAACAGCTCGCTTTCTTCCTTTCACTTGGTGGGAAGGAGGGGATTAAAAAAGCAGATGTAATAAAAGAAATGGGTCATTTCAGAATGACTGCTCCAAACCAGTCCAATACAATTTTATAACACAAAGGCAATGCAAGGTCCACAGCTCTGACTCACCAGGTTTAGCAAATCACTAGACATCCTGGCTCCAGCTACACCAAAAGCAGCCACCTGGAAATACATCTCCTCGACAAAAAGAAACACGTTTGAAAAGGCAAGAAACAAATGGCAAACAGTGTGACCTTTAGTGAAATAGTCATGGGGACTCGTGAATTAGTCAGGCAATGTCAAACTAGAAACTGAAACAAACTCATCCTTGGATTTGGATCCTAATGGATACAGGACTGGATCTCTGCTGTGCTTCTCTCAGCAGTCTAGATAGTTAGATCAAACAATGATGCAGCCTGTATTTAATGAGAATTAAATGTTAATCTTGATAACTAGAAGACGAATTCTAACTTTAAAGATGCAATTATTTCCCATTCCTTTAACATTTGGTCTATTTTGGTTTGCAACTTCTTGTAATTCAGTAGCACATTCATTACACCAAACAGATCAATGTTAACCACTAAAGTATGCAAGCCTCAAGTATGATGTTGCCCAATTCTGAACTTCTGGTGACTCCAGCTCGTGGGCTGATCCACAATTATCTGTTATTTTTGGAGCAGTGGGGCTGTACACAATCATGCAAATTAGAAGACACAGTTTTACATGTTGCCTTCTAAGAATATGTCTTGCAAATATTTGTTTACCCATATTCTTAAATTCCTGGGGTTTCATATCCAAAAAAATAAAAACCCACTCAAGGTACAATGCAAGCTTATGTCACATTCCTGCAAGGCTCTTCATCTGTGTTCAGTTACATCTTGATTTCCTCCTTTGCTACTTGCTGTATATTGAATCCTCTTTCTCTTTCTATTTACAACTATGTGGCAGAAGGAAAATAGTTCTGCTTAATACAGATCCAAATTGGCTTTCTAATAAACCCATTAAAGAAATGGTCCATTTCAGCCTTCAAAATTTGCCACAGGAACCTCTGCAGCTTATTACTAAACCTCTATCTGAAAACGAAAGGAAAAAAAGATAATAGAGACTCAAAGACATGCTACATACCGCCTGCCATATACGCGGAGACCACAGCCTGGAAATCCACTTACTCAGTGTAAATCCAGTTCAGTTATATTGACTTTTCTTTCCCTCACAGTATATTAGCGCTCGTGAAAAATCTTGCAGTGAAAGCCCTAGAGTAGAAATCTCTTGTCCACAGACAAATGCACTTCCCACATTCTGCTCTATTACAACAGGCAAAAGAGCAAAAGCGTTGTTCCTACTTTTGCAATAATCGCAAGGCCAGACACTCAACTAAGACATAAAAAATGTATGGGCTTTGTCATGGACATTTTCTCTAGCCCTAACTCAGTGCTATCTCCACCCATTTATCCTCTCCTTCTCCACCAAACATATGAACAATTATGATCAGCCCACTGAAAATCTGACTGCAATTCTAACATTCAGCTCCTACAAGCCACCAGACCACCCTTCCAGTCACCTCCAGATCATTGCTACATTTGAATTTACTCAAGCCAAATCTTCCTTTCTGGTTCTGGGTTTTTTCCTTTTTCCTTTTTCTTTTTTTCTTCTTTTCTTTCTTCCTTTCCTTTCCCTTTTCTTTTCACAACCATTTACCAAACCAAAAAGAGATTCAAGAGACAAATGATGGCATTTGCAAACAACTCAACTTCCATAGAAGGAAACAAAACAGCGCAGGATCAGAGAGGCCGTTATATGTCAACATAGTAAATGCCCACAGTCAAATTCTCAGTTGGTGTAAAGCAACCTGTCTCCATATGGTTTTATGAGTGCACTGCAACCTGATGCTGAACACACAGTAGAAAAAACCTTATTCCTGTTAAACTACAGCATTTTAAATCTGAGATAGTATTGACCCTATCTGGCATCTATTTCAGTCGATGGCCAAACTCTCATCTCCCCTGACAGGGAGCAGCCAGGAGCACGCTCCGTGCAAGGACGTATGGGCCCTTAATTCCATCTCAAAGCAGGGACCCCCCCAGGGCCCCCTCCCTTGCCCACCTCTCTCGGGCGTCCTCGAGACATTCCCACGAATGGCAGCAGCAGCAGTCACGGCTGCACACTGCTACCTACGCGAGGAAACATGACGCACGTGAAATGTACGGTGCACTCTATAGCAGAGGATGCTGAGCCACAGGTGGGTTCTGCTGTTATACTAGGTCATGTAAAAAACATGCACATGGACACATTAAATATTTAAAGTTTCCTACCCTTAAAAAATCACAACTGCACCTAGCTTATAGTAATCCAAAGCCATAGCTGCAGGGCCTCTTTCAGCGGCTTAAGTCTGGTGTTTGAATTATACAGATTCCTTAGAACTACAAATATCTGCTTGATCAGCTCCATCGTTCCTCTGAGGCAGCTAAACTGAGTGCCAAAGAGCTCCTGCAATGGCACACGCAGCCATCGGCATCCAGGAGAAAAACATGGGATCACCACACCAGGAGTCCAAAAGGTTCTGATGGTCAAGGGTCATCTTTAAGATCTAACCAATTTTTTCAATTACCTAGGTCAGTGACTTCTGACTTAACTTTAAAAATGGCCAATCGTAACTGCTTCAGCAAGAAACTCACGAGAAAGATTAGGGGTCTGATCTCCATTCCCCCAGTTTCAGAAACACTGGTGAATTCTTAAGGACAAGAATGCTACTGCCAAAATATAGACCAGTGTCTAATCTGCCACCGTAGAGACAGACATATTTTGGGGCAAATATGGAAAAAGAAAGATTACCCACATATTTGAAGAAATATTCTAGGGGGTCATCTCCAGTCTGTTGTCTTCTACGGCAGCCTCTACTCGCTGCCTTTTCTTGTTACTGTTTTCCCAAAATGAGCGCACTTGCTTGCCTGACATTGCCAGTCCCTCTAGGACTGGGTGCAGCACGCAAAGCCCCATCCAAAAAGCAAACAAACATCAACTAAGAACAAAGGAAGCAACAAAAACTAAAAGCTTGGTAAGAATGGATGTCAGCGAGCTGATGGAAACATTTCGGCATAAAAAACTTCATCTGCTTAGTTCAACATCAGCTGCAAGAACTGGCGCGCTTCCCCAAACATCAACTTTTCCGGTTGGCTCGTAGGCAAGCCCGGAAAGGGATGCTAATGGTTTGCTTGGTCAGGGCACGCAGAAAGGAAGGAGAGGCAGCAAAGGAGCTGCCAGCTGCATCCCCTGCTTCAGGAAGCTCAGGAAATCTTTTCAGTTGACCAAGCTTGCAAGGGCTCTGGGATTACGGCCCTTCAGTGGATGGGGATGTTTCTTTCTTACGGGATGGCCTCTAACAATGTTAAAGGGCAAGGAGGTTTTGACCGACACACAGCAGACCCCAGAGAGACTAATTACTCAAGCAGTCTCTTTTCCCTTACCCACCCTTCTTGAGCATCTGCAAAGAGTCTTTAAATTTAACCTACAAATCCTAGTATTTTTCCTTTTTAGCGCTGGATTGTTCCTCTTCAGGGCTTTTACGTGCACTTTCCATTTACCCAATGCTAACTCCCATAATGGTCAATAAAGGCCAGTATATTAGTATGATAAACTCATGTTCCCAGCCATGCACAGAATTCAAATTGAATTAGAAAGTCAGCCTATGTTCATAAAAACAACACTATGCAGCAAATGGAGCTTTACTGCACTACGTAACAGATATCACATATCTTTGGGTTGTTGTCAATTCTTCATATAAATACTTTAAATCACTTAGACTTCATTTTGCACACTATATAGTGAGTCTCTTCATAATCAAATAGTATTTAAAACATTTACTGCCTTGTTAAATCTAACAAGTCAGATTTATTGGGATAGTCACTTTCCTTAATAGCCAATTTAGTAAAACTCAATGTATTCATTGATGGATAAATATATAATAGGCGGTTGTTAAACTTTAATAAATATGTTTAATAGTCAGCTGGCATTTTCTCTCAATGGCAGCACTTCCTCTCAGCTGCCAACAGGAAATGCTGCTCCTGAATGTGCCAATTCAGCCCACATGCAGGGAATAAACTGATCTGGAGGAGCACGAATTTCAGGTAGCTTTCCCGCGCTGGTTGTCACATGAAGAACTCTGGATAAGATTATCCTAAGCTCCCATCAAGACCATCAGGTGTTAAATAGCACACAGTGTAAGGAAGAGTATGAGCTACTGTGTTTGTCCAGACTCCGTACAAGCAATGAACCAGGACAGGAAGGGCAGCTGTCTACCCGAAAGCCATATAAATAATATTCATGTATTATTATCACTATTTACTCTTACTGCACTCTTTGTTTCATGTATATCATGTTGCATTCTCTCACCCTACCCTGCCACTCTGTGTTGATCCAACAGATTCAATTCCGATGCCTCAGCTTCTAGCTAGGAGATCAAAAAGGTACTCTTTTAAGGCTTTTAGGTACCTAGGGAAAAAATTTTAGTGGAGTCCACATCATTAGACAACTGAAAACCTTTAAAAATCACGCCCTTAGCTCAAACTGTAGAACTTCATGCCTAAACTCTGCAGATCCCAGGATCAGTTCTCCAAGCTGAAGGCAGCTACCGCATATAAATGAGAAAAAACAGACCAAAATACCTTTCAGAGAGACTGTATTTGTACGCTGGGCTGTGAAGTTTGATCATAGCCACAAGACACTCACCTGGGTGGGATTATACAGTTCCTGGAGCGGGCTTCTGGATCCCTTCCGGCAGCAAATGTCCATGCCAAATGGATTTCTACGCATTACTGCAAGGGGAAATTGAAATTAATACAGGTTAGCAACATTGGTTAGCCATAACCTATTGCAATACCTACAGCAAGAAGAGATTTTCTGACAGATACTGGGATTCTAGACAGTGTTGTGTCTTAATTTCTAATTTTACTTTCCCGAGAAATTGCCCGAGAGCTAAATCCTTTCTCTATTGTGGAAGTTACTGGAAAAAAAAAAAAAGCTCTCTGGTTCCCCTCTCACAAAAGCTGTTATCCAACAACTTCCAGCTTGGGTGCACAAAAATTCAAGCATAGGGACCAAAGTGACACAATTTTAGCAGTGCTAGGTACCTGCTTCTCTGATCGTCAGGGAGGAGTCGGATGGATTCCTATAATCAGCATCTCCGAGAGGCAATGTTTGAGCCTCTCTCAGCCTAAATACAGAAGTACACAGGAACCTAATATTAAAACATCTAATTTTAAAGCTTTTGGCCTAACTCTTTGGTTTCTCCTAGAACAGACACTCAGCAGTACAAGACACGCATACAGTCAATCATTGCTGCACTTCTTGCTACAAACTATATTTTGCTCTATATATTGCAACTGAATATTTGACTGATCCAAAACCCAACTTATGCTATGTCATCCCAGCTGGAAACCAGCAGGTTTTCAAACCAAAGGCTTTGTCAGAGGTCTGACTGAAGAGTATTTTGGATGATAAAGTGTTTTCCAGGAGAGACCGTGACCTGAACCCCAGCAGGTGCAGAGATCATCTGTTTCAAGTTAGACCTTCGTGGCCATAAAAGTCTACCTAAGAAGCCATTCGGCTCCGATCACCCTCTAGAGTCACGAGGAGAACAAGACCTTGCCTGCCCTTCTAATCTCACGTGGCCCACATCATCCTCTGCCCCAGCTTGCTCTGCTACCTACGGAAGGAGCATCAGGCTATCAGACGCCAGCATCAGGCGTCGCAGCCAAGGGAGATTTGTCTCGTCAAGGTTTAATTAAGACACAACCAAAAGGAACGAAGAGATGTTCCTGCTGGGAATCTGAAGGCATTAAGCAGAGTCAGACACGCTTTTACCACCACTTGCCATGTTTTGTAACCAGAAACTATTGAAGTGTCCTTCAGCAACGGTTCTGAGCTGCGCCGCTTGCAGACACGATACTGCAAGAGTCAAGCCAAGAGTCAGAGAATACAGTCAAGTCATCTTTTAATACAGAGGGCTAATATGCAATCATAATTGATACATCAACTAGTATGAACCACAGAAAACTGTATACAGTTCCAATCTGGAAACATAATAGGTTCCTTCGCTCAATTCCTATCTATTTTTCAATTGAAGGTAATTATCTAATAACATGCCGAGTCGCTTTTCCCCTGAGCAAAGAGATTCCACGGGTCTTGTGGCAGGAGTCAGACATACATGCTTAGTAAACAAACTGTCTAAATGTTTTGATTTTCTTCACAGTTTAGGATAGTAATGTTATTAGAGGCTATAACTTCAATTTACATGTTTAAATACCTGATTAACTTCCAAGCACTTTTAGTCACGCAGCCAAGTATTGCGATTCCTTTGTTTTTGCGCTAATGTGCCTTTTTAAAAGCTGACTTAGAAAGTGTTTAAAACAGTTAAAACTTTAAAAAGTTTTTGCATGAGTAATGCCAGCTTCCAGGGTTTGGAAGTGGTTTTAGGAAGAAAACACTAAAGCGAGGGCGTGAGACATCCAGCAGTCGTTCTAACGACAGAGCTCCTGTCTGTCCCCTCCCCGTCTATCGTCCCCCTCCGTATTCTTGTACCAGGAACTGCGTCCAGGGATGCTTTGAAAATCATTTTGTAGCCCCCTCACCATTACAAGAAATCTTTCCAAAATTGAGCCTTCCAGTCAACAGCAAACCACATCATTTCCGTTTAAAACACCAGAGCAGGGGGAAAGGGAGAGGGGAACATTTCAGTGTATCCAGGTCATTAGACTGTGATTAACCAGGATCCTGAAACACTGATGCTTTGTTCCAAAACGAAGAAGAATTCTAGTGTGGTGTTCCTTAATTTATTACTTCACTTTTCATTTCCATTAAATACAGTAAAGAGCAATGTGCATAAACATATCCCTTCTTGCTTCACTTAGCCAGCAGGTATAAACACAGCAACACTTTATATGCAGCAGTAACAGCCATAAAGATTAAATTATTTGCACAACACGCAAGATTTGATTCCCAGATGTAAACAAACAAACAAAGCAACTGTCTCCCCAGCAAAAGCTAAATGCTAATGTAGAACCTTAGTCACTGAAACCATTAAATCTTTTTTATGATTCCCAATATTACTTAATTGGTTTGTTTTTTCAATAAAGCCTTTAGAAGAAGACTGCGGAGTTAGCATAGCAACACAGCAGCTCAACACAGCACTCGCTTCCCTGTTTCTCGGTGTCAGGAACGGCACGCCCTGACGCAGCTGTACACAGCACATCTGTGCACACCTGGAAAATACTTCTGCCTGGAATTTAACGCCAGCATTGAAATACAGGGGACTGTTCCCCTTCCTCAGCAGAAATCCCACTCGCACCTTTTGCAAAATTGTCCTTAGGTGAATAACTATCAGGAATGTTTATATACAGTTCAAAACACTTGCTGGCAAGCCTGTGGACAAACTCACCTCTCAGGGCTCCTGCAACCTGTTTTCTACTGTCTCAGCTTCTCTGAGGCACTGTTTCATTATGTGAATGACACGACCTTTTTGGCCTGAATCTCATCTATAGCAGTCTGCAGTAAGAAAGACGTAGTATGGATGTTAACTGCAGCTATACTAATTTTAACAACACTTTCACTAAGACTCCATCATGCTATTGTGGTAGTGAAAATTAAAAAATCAAGCCCTTTATCTTCACCAAATCTTCTTATTAACATAGTAAATATCCAAATTTACATTTTATGGCTGGCACTGATCTCCATACATAATTACAGTTAATTATAATCTAATGATAAGTATTGCATATGCATGGCTCCAAGAACTGATTAAAAGATCACGTTCATGTAGACTAACTGTATGAAGCAGCTGACAGCAGCACTGAATGCCTTTAATGATTAAAGAGTAGTGTTAATACTGCAACTGCAGCAAAATCAGCAGTCCCCTGAGTTTAGCCAGTTTTGCGAGCAACTGAATGAATTGTTAGTTTGTTACTTAAATACAAGAGCTGTAAAAATAAGACCTTTTTTCCATCTCCAGGAATGATTTGTCCAAAATGCAATCTTGGCCCATCTGTTAAAATCTGTGGAATCACTAGTCATTAATTTAATAGCAAGTCTGGAGAGCATGTTAGCTAGGCACCAAATGTCAGTTTCTCAAGAAAGATAAACAGCCTTGCTGAATTGAAAGCTTATCAACATAACAATCATCTGTGTATATATACATAGAAGGAAGCTCCATGTGCAGGCCTTAAATTAGCTCAGAACAGAAGAATCTGTGCACAACTTCTCAAAAACTCGATTTAGACTTACTAGTACCAAGAGCAGGAATTTGACCTGTGAATTACAGTGCACTGAGCAGGAGAACACAGCCCTCCTCAGTCAAACCTTCTTCTAGTGTCTGTGCAGAAAGGAAGTCCAGAGGTTTTGCCACAGTCTTGCTCCATTAGATGACTACAAATTAAAATGTAGAACCCTCAAATTAAAGACACCCTTCGGAAAGGCACGGTTTGGGAGCACACTGAGAGCCTGCAGATCATCATCCAGGACCTTTGAACCTTCCACCGTGGTCCAACAAGCGATGTGTTCACAAGCGTCTCCTCCCCAGGTCGCCCAGGTCCTGAACCCGTGATGGCAGAGGCAGGGTTACAAGCGACAAGAGTAAATGCACGTGGCAAGGCACCTACTAGATCTTGGCACCTACGAGAGGGGATGTCACCTCCAGGGTGCATCTAGCCAAAAATGCAAGACAACAGTGCCTAGAATAACGGGCACATGTGGGGAGGGGGAATGCGCAGGCGGGCACATCGGGTATAAAGCCTTCATTTTTTGGTGTGACATTTCAGAGACCGAAGATCATTTACACAGAAACACATGAACCAGGCTTAAGTTGTCACCTTGACTTGGCAGAAGGCATTTATAATGCGCTTAGTAACCTATGAAGACCCTGTCCCAGAATGGGAGACCTCCAGTATTCCCACAGGATGAACAATGACAGGAAAAAATACAAAGCCACACCAATGCAATTTCTGCCTCTCCCTATCAGGAGCTACAGAGAAACTGAGAGAGGGGACATGGTGGCACTTCTCTTGGGAGATTACTAGCCTGAAAAGGTATGTGAACACTGGGACTATCTGGACAGAAGAGAAAAGTGGGGAAAAAATCATGGGAACCAAGACTCTTGGAGACTTAAAACCATAAAGGTCACCTTCTCACAAAGTGTCAGAAGGGCAAATGAAACCAATTCTCACAAGCTGTGTGGGATCAAGTCACAGAGTAGACTCTGCCGGAAGAAACACACAAAATAATTGTCACTTCTTCCACTGGACTTGCAGAGACAAACAAGTGGCATTTCGAACGCTGGGTACGTGCACTCAGCAGCCACCTGTATCACTACCATCCTACAATCCCGTAAATGTCAGAGGTTCCCATTTCCAAGACTTCTGTAGAATAAAAGTTCCCCAACAGCTATCTAGCAACCATCTTCCTACTTGGTAACATTTAATTTACATTGCTTGGACTATTCTAATTACTTGCACAATAACAAAAACCAAATGTAGAAGCTTCACCTCTGTTCACTGCCTCTTAAATTAACTGACTCATGTTACAAATATTTGAGAAAAGTTCTGAGGACATATTAATATTTAACTTTTCATTATGTTGGTCTAAAGTACAAAGACAAAATTCCCTAACACAGGATTGCTTAAAGCTGATATACATAATTCATTCCACCTATTTGGGATACGAGTTGTCTCACTGAAGAGAAAGTATGCATTGGAAGCAATATAGTGAGACTCTGGTTGAAGATGGGATCCTGTTCTTGTTTTAAAGAAAAAAGTCAAATATATTC